ATTTACTGCCATGGTGTTTCTTGCCCTACTATGGAAGTCAATGGTGACCAACAACTGTTTGATGACCAGCATTCTTCAAAATATCTTCTTTTGTGTTCAATATAAGAAAGAAACTTATACAGGTTTGGAATGACATGATGGTGAGTAAAAGATAACTACTTTTTTTTTTCATTTTTGGGTGAACTATTCCTTTAACAAATGTTTAATGAGTCTTTTTTTATTTATACCTCGTTAAAAAAAGTAAATAAAACAATATACATTTATCTGAGAAACAGTGATTGTTGTTATCTTAAAACTTTATACTTAAAACAAATGGAAATAAATCTGTTAGTGCAGACAAAATACACTTCTATTCAAGACACATTCACTGTAAAACCTCTAATGCATCATGGAGCATTTTAACAGACTAAATTACATATGTAATGAAATTATTAAAAATGTGACCCTGGACCACAAAATCAGTCATAAGCATGCTATTTTTGTAGCAATGGTCAAAAATACACTGCATGGGTCAAAATTATCGATTTTTCTTTTATGCCAAAAATCATTAGTACACTAAGTATAAAGATCATGTTCCATGAAGATATTTTGTAAATTTCCTACTGTAAATATATCAAAACTGAATTTTTGATTAGTAATATGCATTGCTAAGAACTTCATTTGGACAATTTTAAAGGCGATTTTCTCAATGTTTTAATTTTTTTGCACCCTCAGATTCCAGATTTTCAAATAGTTGTATCTCCTATATGTCCTATCCTAACAAACCATACATCAATGGAAAGCTTATTTATTCAGCTTTCAGAGGATGTATAAATCTCAATTTAAAAAAAAGGACCCTTATGACTGGTTTTGTGGTCATAGAATGTTCCAATAAATACAAAAAAATTACAATGAAATGTGAATATAAATAAATACTGTGTAAAATAATCTTAAATGTGCCTTAAAATGAAAAGCCTCATGAAATATGAAATGAAATACACCTTGAAATGAAATAATACAGAAAATACAATTCATCATTCTTTGACATATGTATAATTTCATCATATATCTATTTAATTTATTCTGTTAAATCACATCATAATGCACTGTTGTAACTGGAAAATAAAGATTGTTATTATTTAGAAAATACATTCAGAATAGGATTTTTGCAGTGTATCTATACAAATAGACTAATATATTCAAAGAAATGAAATTGAAGGGGGTCTGAATACTTTCCGTACCCACTGTACATGAGACAAATATTGTAACCCGTTTCTGTTCCCACACTGCCCCCTCATGGTCAGGTCTAGCATAACCATCATCATCTTCATCATCATCATCATCATCATCATCATCAATGAACACTCATAATTTTTCTCTGTGATGCAAAATACTGATATATTCCTTGAAGTTCACCATATATATAAAAGTTATTCTGATAATAGTTGACTTTTGAGCTAAAATGACCCTGAGGTTTAGAGGATGTTGTATTCACATGTGTCCCCATCTCTGTGTCATAGTACTCACTAAGGTAAGTTTGGTTTGTAGAGTTTAGTGGGCTGGAACATGCTGCTGGCTGCTTCCCTGTTCCCTCCACTGCTAAAGCTATGCTTCCTGTAAAAGTTAGCATGGCAGCTGATTACTAATCATAATAATTAATAATCACTTCTAACCGTTTTTAGCATCTGTCTTCATGCCTTATCAGAAAAAAACCCTAGTTAAATATTTAATTAAAAGTTGCAAAATAATACACTGCACATATTAAAATGTTTAAACATTTAATGTATAAACATTTCCATTACTTGAAACGTAAATAAAATTAAATACATATTTAAAAACGTATTTTATTACAGCTGTTTGCCAGCGAAACATGTATCATTTTAATTTAATTTAACTTGATGTACTAAAATAAAACTAAAATTGAAATAAAGTGAATAACATTTATTTATACATATTTACACACACACAAAAAAAATAATAAAAATGACAAACACCGGAAAATTACTAAAACTTTAAAAGGAAAATATTAGAGCTCATTTAAAATATTAATAAGCACTTTCATATGATCTCAATGATACTACAATTACAGTGATGATGTATGTAATATTATATTGGTATAAGCTACATTAGATTAATCTATTGCATGATAAAAAGGCCTTTGCTAATGCATGGCAACCAGCAGCAGTGCATGGACATCTAACAACATAAAATGCCTTGGAAAAACACAAATGTGAGGCATTTCAATATAGCAAAATGATAAAACATATGAATAAACAGATGCAACAGATATAAAGGTGACAGATTTAATGCTCTGTTATACAACATTAGATGTACAGTAATAGAAGGTCAGAGCTTTTCAAATATTATAGATTTAGTTCATATGTGCAGGTAAACAAGCTTGCTATCTTATTGCATCTGTTGAAGTAACATGTAGTTGCTTTGTAATGATAGCTATTATTTTTTCCACAGCAAAAAGCCAAAGAAGCCCCAGAGAAGACAGATGAACAACAGACTCAAGCCTCTGACGCTGGCTTACGACGGCGATGCTGACATGTAGCCTAACCACGTTTGCTTCATACTACAGATACTCGCCTCCTTTCACAGTCGGCCATCGGTACAAGCCTCAAACAAGGAGACTCGCGCAAACTCACCGACTGCTTTTTATAAGACGCTAATGGAACCTCAGAGAGAGAGACTCGATCTGGGTTTATATAATGTTTCTCCCCCCTCCTTTTTTTACGTTCAAGTTTTTTTGACTTTATTTCACGAGAGCCTTCATAAACTCTTCAAAAATCTTCTTCAGGAAGTCTGCCTTCACCTCTCTGCCATCGACATCTTTCTGTAACATAGACTTTAGTCTTTCAGGAGGAAAGTTGCAGGAGCTTTTTGAAATTGGGAAGTGCTGAGAAAGCACAAAATATGCCCGTCTCCTGTTTAGTCCTGCAATATGTACATTGTCTGTGGCTGTTGGGAGGTCGCATGTTCAGACAAACTAAATACACAATAGCATTTTCAGCCCCGAAACGCTCAATATTGTGTGATCAGAAGGATAAAAGACTGCAGATTGAATGGGCTCTCTAGTGCCCCCTATAGAAACTCTGGCCTGCCTTTCCCCCTTTCTGTATCCAGGCTCCATTTTGCACTATATTAGTGCAGCATGAACATTTACTTATAGCATTGCCATAGAAAACTGCCTCTCGCAAAACAAGACGATGTACAGTCTTGTGCTAGACAAGTTTCTTGTTTTAAAAAAAGAGAGCGAGAGAACAAAAGTAGCCCTTTTTCTTCTGATGGAACTCACTGGTGTTTGTTTATTCATACTTGTTTACTGGTTACCTCCTGTTTGTGATAAAGGGGCCGTTGAAAAGTTTTTTTGTGGACTCCACAAACCCCCCTGTTGTATGTACAGTTGCAATCAGCCATGTGTTTGCTTTCTTTGCCTGATTGACTTGTGTATGATTCAATGGTTCTTTTCAGCTTAGAGATCCAGGTCGGTGAAGTTTTCCATGTGTTGCAGTCTTTCGTCTCTGATTCCAAGGGCTCTGTGTTCATAATTGGAGCGCTTTTAACAGTATGCTGTTTGATTTACTGATCCTGCTGTGTCTGTGTGAACCAGTTCTGTTTGCAGTTTATATAACGTGACTGTCTAACACAATAACAGCATGCCTTTTCATATCAGCTAGATTCAGAAAAACCAATACTCTGATATTGAATGATTACTTGTGGAAGCATTCGTTTGACATTATTATTACCTATTCCGAACCTGATTTGAGGTTGAACAAATCTCAGCTCATTCATTAGAATGAAGAAATGCTGTGGTTTGTGCTGAGTCATTACGTAAGGGATGATGTACAGTGAGCTGGTTATTATTGCAAATTAAAACCTGACAGGGTGATTTCTAATATAAATAATAGAGGACTATTAAAAAAAAAAAAAAGTTGCCGAACGTTGCCTTTGCAACTAACTTGAAATGAAATAATACAGAATGTAAAATTGAACATTCTATGACATTTATAATTGCATCATGTATCATCGTGTATCATGTACTGTATTTTATTCTGTTAAGTCACGTCATAATGCATTGTTGCTTCTCATGTAAATTGATCTTGTTTCAATCATTTTTAGGTATTATAACTGGAAAATGAGATTGTTATTGTTTATAAAATAAAAAGGTGCAGTGTATTCATACAAATAGACTAATATATTCAAAGAAATGTTTAAATATATATTAGGCAAATATTGTAGCCCGTTTCTGTTCCCACACTGCCCTTCATGGTCAGGTCTAACATAACCATCATCATCATTATCATCGTCATCAATAAACACATCATTTTCAAATGCTAAAATTAAAACTTAAAACTGAAATAAAAAATTAAAGCTATATAGAAGCATAAAAATGACAAGCACATACCTAAATTATTAAAATGAAAATGGACCGTATGAATTAAAAGTGAATTCAAAATATTAATAATTAAATGAATAATGCTAAAATTACTCCGGTGAAAATGACCAGCTTACTGTACACTATCCTGCTTATTACACGGTTATTTGGCAAATGCACATTGACATTGAAAAATAATTTTATATTTTACTTTTATATTATTGTAAAGCTTACGCTAAGAAAAAAAGTTAGTTACAAAATACAGAACAATCAGCTTAGCAACAAGACAACACTGCAACATTACAGTAATATTAAAACTGAAGACATTTAATGTGATACATTAACTGAGACACTAGATGGCGCCAGTTGCGTTTGACTTGAAAGTGACGCTAGGCTGATGTACAGTGTTGCCATAAATGATGATTGACCCGACTAGAGTATTCCAGAGAGCCGTGGAATAAGTGCTTGTAATGTTCAGTTTTCAAAGGAAAAGAGAAAAAAATATTTTCTTTCTTTTTTCTTTTATTATTTTTTATTTAGTATTTTTATTTATTTATTCTTTTTTCTTCTTCTTCTTCTTTTTATTATTATTATTATTATTATTTATTTATTTATTTTATAAGGGTGCAAGTTTTTTGTCACCATGCCATGAACCTGCGTATAAGTAATCATACACCAACAGAATTGGTAACAAAGATATGTGGATTCAGATATGACTGAAATGGTCATCAGTGTCACCAACCTTCTAAAAATTGGGTAGAAAAGCACAAATAAGTAGGTTAGGGCCACTTTTCCCAAAAACCATATCTGCAGTGAATGAACTATGGGCGCTATTGATCTCTAATGGCATATCATTGAATTTGCTTTCAAATGCGACGGGTGAAAGGAATGTTTACTTGTGTTAATACTTGTTTTGTTAATTTGTAAATACACGAATGATCTTTTATTTAATGATTTCTTTATTATATATCAATTTGTTCATTTCTTGTTTTACTACACAAAGTGTTTAGTATAAACCTCTCAATGTGTGTTTGACGGTATATGTGTGTTGTGAAAATGTTGCTTTCTTCTTTTCCTACAGGTTGTTTATATGTGTCTGATGAATTGCTGATAATAAACAAGAAAAACATTGCTGTACATGTGGCTCATTTAAGTTTTAATTTCATTTTAGCTTGCCAGTTGTTGCATTGTCAGTATCAGAAAAGTGCACATTGCTTTGGTAAGATCATGTTGAGGAGGTTCAATATTGTAACTGATTTTGTGCAGACGAAATAGATTTTCTTTGAGATCATCCCAGTGTTGAGTGGATACATTAATTCAGTGTAACATACAAATAAGACGACAATAGTGAAATTGGCAGCAAGTTTATGGTAAAATTTAAACACAAATAGTTGTTTAACATAAATATTTAGGGGGTCACTGATGGGTCTGTCACATGAAAATGCCAGTATCATCTGATATGCTCTTATAACTTACTTTAGTGCCACAGTTACTGCTGCACAATGTCTGTGAAGTTCTAATAATACTAAAAACTGAATAAATAAATAATCCTATTCAGCAATGATGACAAAACAGATATTGATTGAAAAAAAGACAGCAAAGACTGTTACAATGTTGCAAAAGATTTCTATTTAAAAAAATGACATTTTTTTGACTTTTCATCAAAGAATCCTGAAACAAAAATCTTTATAAAATTATATAAAATACTTATAAAATGATTGTATTTCTACAAAAACATTAAGCAGCACAACTGTTCTCAATACTGAAAATGATTTATGAAATGATTACTGTATGTAGTGCGTTTTTATCAACCAAATTTAGTCTCATAAGAGACTTTTATTCAAAAGCATGAAAAATCGTACCCACCCCAAAACATTGAATAGTCGGCTAATATAGTAAAAGCCAACATGTTACAAAGTATCTCAGTTTGCCCCACAGCCCTGGTGAACCAGGGTAAATCTTTATGATACACATTCATTTATTTATTTGTTGGGAAAGGAAAGTAAAGCCCTTTCCCTATTGCTCAAACCTGGCTCAAACACACACCAATCAAATTTAACGTCGTTAAATTTGCGTATTTTCGCCCATCTATAACCAATCGTTATCAACAGCAACCACTCAAGCCAATCAACTTTCAGTATAACTTTACTGCGTCATCCATCCTGCTAGTAACAACAGGGGAAGAAGAACTTTCACATATAGGCATATATCGATAAATTCAAATGAATAACTACAGGGACATGAATATGGATTTGTAATAATGAATGAGTAGAGGATGGAGTTCTTCCGCGCACAGGTGAGTATTATGTTGGATGGAACGGGGCTGCGAGATTTATTCCGTTCATTTGCTATACTGACAAGTGATATAAGTTTGTAACACGTTATTAATCATCAAGACTGTTTTAATATATGGGATATCCTATCTGTATGGCAGCGTACCTGTCATTAAATATATAAAATGTAAAATCAAACCTGCAATCTTTTACTAGCTTGCTCATTGTTGATATACACCACTAGAAGTCGCTACAAGACAGTGTCTGAATTGTTGCAAAGACTGACAAGCAGATTTGTTTTTCCACCAATGTAGCAATGAATTAAAGTGCTCCAGATGGTTTAAAATATTCAAATCCTTAAAAGTTTTCTTGAAGACATGATGTTTCCACTCACAAACAGCACATAATTCAGCTGTATAATCTGGGACTGTACAATTGCACATAATCAGAGGAAAGATTCAGAAGATCTCACTTTTGGAGGTCGTCCCATAGAGTTGGACATAAAGTGACAGTGCCTACAGTGTAGGATGTTCTTATGTTTTAATAGTAGAGTCATCCCGCTGCCCTCAGCTTGTTAAAGTCATATCTGGCTTTAATCAACAGGGTCACAATGCTCCTATGATTATAATCATGGTTTGAGGCCTCTGGGAGTCTTCAGTCCTCATTGCCCAATCAGTAATTATCACAATCATGTCTCTTGGCCCTCATTCCAATTGAATTCCTCAGCTAAAAGCAGGAAGACTTACAGACTGACCTAATCAATTAAGTCCCAGTGCAAGGCTCCTTCAATCCGATGACTTTGTCCCAACCTCTGAGTTATCAAAATAGAGCGCAAATTTGATTAAGCAGAACCGATATCAGGTACAGGAAAGGATTCCCGGAATATCAGCTCCAAAGTGAAGGAAGGAAGTTCGCTACTGATCCAACATTGAGGAACAGTGACAATCTTCAGCAGATAAATCAAGCTCTGACTCCATTACACCATTAAGTTGCACTTTAGGGAGTCTTAAAACTACAGCACATGATTGATTTGAAGACGCTGCGATCGCTGTGCCAAATGTTCAAATGCTGGGGTGAAGCTTAAAGAGACAGTTCACCCAAAAAATGCAAATTTTGTCATGTTTTACTTACCCTCATGTCATTGCACACCTTCTATAGAAGGTATTTTTAAAAATGTCTCACTTTTTGGTTTTTTATTTCTATTCAATGAAGGTCAATTGGATCTAATGTCCCCATTGACTCTCAATGTAGGTACAAAGACGGTCTTCAGAATTTGTTCTTTATAGAACCCCTAAAGGGATATGGTGATGGTTATAAAATTAGATGAGAAAAAGAACCATCTCTTTCTTACCTTTTTATAATCTGAAGAACCTTCTTTCGCCACAAAGAACCTTTTGTGAAACAGAAAGGTTCTTCAGATGTTAAAGGTTCTTTATGGAACCATTTAGACAAAAAGGTTCTTCTATGGTCTCGTGAAGCACCCTTATTTTTAAAAGTGTAGGAGCTTGGTTGTTCTGCAGAACATATTTGGGTGAACTTCCCCTTTAAGAAAGACTCCAGAGATGCAAAACTTGATTAAAAGCTTTTTTTGCTTCTCATGAAAGTTGTTGAAACTTCATCAAAAGGCCCCTGCAGATGAAATGAAAAACTCCCAGAGCATATTGAAATAAAAAACCAACATTTGCCGTCTGCAGCAGTGAGACATTTGTTATTGTTTAAAGAGTCGAGTTTGTAATTCACCATAATCGGAATCATAAACCCTCCTGATTGTGTGCAGCGTTCTGAGATGCAGATGCAGTGGACTTTGTGTACGAGTATCAGTCTGGCCGTGTCTTCGAGTCCAGCCGTCAGTTTAATTGCCATGCGGAAGCACTTGATGCACGCCAGCTGCATCCTGCGACCGGTGCTCTGATCCCGCATTTGTCTCTGTCAGTGCCTTCGGGGTCCGCCCGCTCCAGCACTCATATGAGCCATGCTGGCAGCCACCACCAGCCTGCACCAACTTAGCTCGACATAAAAAGTCTCTCTCTCTCTCGGTTTCTCACAAACGCATACACACACACACACACCCTTCAAATCAGTACTGCAGCTTATGGAATGAATATACTGTATGTCTGTAATGTATAAGAAGGCACGGGCGACGGTTTGTGGTGTAAGATAACACCTGGCCGCTGGCACCTGGCATAAGAGCGCCTGAGTTTGGCCTAATTGAAAGCCTCCCTATTGTGTTACCACAGCCCCTATGGGGTCTGCTCCCTTCTCTCTGAAACATCTGCCCACACAATCAGGCATTCAGCCATGCCAGCTGAGCCATGCCACAGCAGTGTATTGCCAGCGTCACTCAGCTGGCTCAATCTTCCTCTTCCTCCTTTTCTTTATCTGTCTTTCCCTGTCTTTATCCCTTGCTTCTTTTCCACTGAACCGTTCGGAAATGGAAGTCTCTACCCTATAATCTGCTGTTCTCTGTGGTAGATTACATGGTTTGAGTGAATGTGAATGAGAGTGAGAGAGGACCAAAGGTAGGCTGTGTTAAATTAAAGCCACTTGACCTCGTGATTAGAAGGAAGGGAGAGTGTGTATTGTGAGCAGGTGTCCCCTCTGACGGATTTGAGCGTCAAAGTCTCGTGCATTAACCCAGTCTGTCCGTACGTATGTTCACATCAAGCTTAAAAGACTTCAAACTTTTTGAGACCTATGGATACCCATTTCCACATCAAAAGCAGAAAAAGCCTACAAAAACAAAACAGGAAATTGTGAGATAATGTTTAAAGTAAAAAAATGAATTGCATTGAAGTCACCTTATGAGATATAAAGTTTTGTTGCAAGATTGTGTTGTAATTATAAGATATAAAATCACATTTATAAGATGTAAAGTTACATTTGTGACATAAGTCACATTTTGAGATATATTACAACAGAGATATAAAATTGCAACTGAGATAGTGATATACTGTAGTTGTGTTTTCAAGATACAAAGCCGCAATTATAAAACAGTCACATTTAAAGTTGCATTTTTGAGATGTAAAGTTGTATGTGCAAGATACAAAGTCGCAATTATGAGATATAAAATTGCAGTTATGAGATGTTAAGTTGCATTTGTCAGTTGTAATGTCAAGTTTGCAAGATGTAAAGTTGCTTTTGTGAAGCATAAAGTCGCATTTGATAAGTCACAATAGAGATATAACATTGCAGTTGGGAGATAACGTTCTGTTTGCAAGATACAAAGCTGCAATTATGAGACCTAAAAATTGCATTTATGAGATATAAAGTCGTAAAATTGGAATTGTGAGATGTAAAGTCGCATTTATGAGATATGAAGTCACATTTGCAAGATAAGCCACAACAATGATATAAAACTGCAATTGGGAGATATAAAGTTATATCTGCAAGATACAAAGTCACAATTTTCAGACATAAAATTGCATTTATGAGATGTTAAATTGCATTTGTTAAATATGAAGTTGCATTTGTGAGATGTAAAGACGCATTTGCATGAGATAAATTAGTAATTGTAAGACATAACATTGCAACTGTGAGATATAAAGTCACATTTCTGTGATATAAAGTTGAATTGGTGAGATGTAAAATCACAGTTACGAAAAATAAAATTGCTTTGGTGAGATGTAAAGTCAAATACATTTTGAGGTGCAAATGGGCCTCCACATCTGACTGATGTTAATATAAAAGAAGATCAGAAGACCAGCAATAAAAGTTCTTGACTTCAACAAGGGCTAAAATTAAATAAGTGCTTTGTTTCAAAAGATGATCCCCAGAAATGATGAGTAAGAAATTAATTTAATGTTGAATGGACCCTCAAGTCATTAATTACTGTTCCTGTGGACTTGACTGAGCAGAGAGGTCAAGTATATACTGCAGGTCTTTTACAGGCCTCAGTAATGTGGCCTTCAGCATTCTCGGGTTATTTGAAGTTATTAACCCTGGGCTTTAACATCAATAGGCCATATGCTCTGCATTCTGCTCCAAAAGCTGGTTGTGAGCAATGTCCTCTCACCCATGCTCTGTATACTGCATCTCTGTAGAGCTGTGCTGGGTCTGGATGATACATCCCTGCAGGCCGATTTGCTGCATGCTACGACTCTGAAGGCCACCACAGCCATTCACAGCCTCATCCCATTTCAGCCGCTGCCTGAGTTACTGCCTGAGTGACACTTCAGTCTGCCGCCGTGCTGTAGCAATGAGACCTCCACAGATTTATAGAGTCAGACCCTGCTGCTTTTTTTCTTCCTGGTTTTCTTCTTTTTACATGCATGCATAGCGACAGCTGTGTAAAAAAATCCACACCGTCAGCATTTGCTGGTTCATAGATTTTTACACAGGCATTTCTAGACTCTATTCATGAGAGCCTCAGGCCTCCTCAAAATATGATACGATTGAATCCTCCTTACCAATATCCAACAACAAGCAGCAATGTTATCCAAATCACTAATTTTGTCCTGGTTTTGGTAAAGAGTACACTATAAATTCCTAATTGTTTTGATATTGGAACCAGACCTTGTGACTTGTCAAAATATCTAAAGAAATACAATAAAAATAACTTTTTAAAATAAAAAAAAAATATTACAATCCATCTGTGATGTTTACTGTTAGCCAGATCAACCTTTAATGACCTTTCGCCTTTGATCTTTCTGAATCTTATGCATCTTTGGAAAGTTTTAGTAAATCTGTGAATCAAAGTTGAAATTTTTATGATCTAGCTGCTTGCAAAATCACTAAAGCTTAAATTAAAAATTGTTTTGCAAAAATGGGAATGAATGGATTTTATTTTTATTTTTTTTGTGATGGATGTGCCATGTGGGTCCATATTGACTTATTTGTGTCATTTTGATGTATTTGTGACATGCATGGATTAAAACTGAAAGATGTAAATGTTCATTTACTAACAGACAGCAGAATAACATCTATAACTTAAAAACTGAGAGAAATTATTATGAAATGTAATTAAAATGAACCAGGTGAATTTAAGATGTACAATTATTTTACATTTATTTGTACTCAAATTCACACTATTATTTATTTTTTTCTATCAGAATAGACTTTTTTTAACCCAATGTTTTGTGTGTCAAATTGAACTCAAAAATCACAGGTGCGTTCAGTTTGATGGGACAATAGCGCATAATGTCCGTGTAGAGTTGTGGCGCGCTCCTCGAACTGCGTCGTCTAGCGCGCACGAAAACGCCAAAAGCGTCTCTGGTGGGCTGCGAGTCTCCTTTAAGTCGTTGCGATCGTGTGATCCCGTCGTCTCTCGGACCAATCTCGTCCGGTTCTCTAATCTTTTTTTCCCCACTCTCCTCTCGTCCCACCCCCTCTGAGCTTCTCTCCGGATGTAGTACGGCGCGCGTGGCTCTCAGTGCGCAATATAAAGCCACAGCTGAGTGACAGCGCGCGCGTGAAAAGCCTCTGTCCTTGTTTCTAAGAGGACTTACGCCGCAGTCACTCCAGGCAGCAAGACCAGCGACCATCTCCCATGACATCTTAATCAAATATGACTGTGCTTCACTCCTTGACTGGATTAATGCCTATGTAACCGTTCATTTGCTCTCCCTCCCTTATCTGTGTCCAAGTTTAAAGCCTATTCTGTGGTCATGGGGTCTATAGTGTCATTTTTGCCTAGGCTAAAGGTCTAAAGCGGATACCAAGTGGATCTATGTTCCTTACAGACAAAAGAAACAGCGCAGGGAAATTAGTGGAAGTTTGAGATAAGGGAGGATGCGGGCGACGTGTTGGTGTGCCGTGTTTCTCCTCACTCCGGCTGTCTACCTGGTAAGTGTCTTTCAAATTACCTGTATTACTCGTTTACATGTAGAATATGCTCGTGTGTCTAAATGAGAATCAGATTAAACTGTGGCACTTCGGAATGACAGGAGTGTTGTTAGCAGTATGCGATGCTTTTCACTTTATAACTATGGTTTCAGGGTAGTGAAAAAAAACTTTTATGCCTTTATTTCTGTAATTTAGAGACTTTTAAACGCGTTTTAAGTTGTGTATAAAAATGTTCGGACAAATGTGATTTTATTTCTAAAAGCGCGTCTGCTGCAGACAAAACCTTCCTCTGTTTCGGGTATGGACATCCAGTTGCGAGAGTTGCGTTTCGGTGTTCGGCCTCACGGGGGCGCCAAAACAAATGAAAATAGCTGCGTAAACGAAGCGGCAGTGACAGCCCTGCACCCTGATGAGAGTCTCTTTGATTTCCACTATTCAATACACACTCAAGCCACGTCTACAACAAACTACATTCTACAAGTTGGCTAAATCACTTTATTGAAAATAAATCAAGAAAAGAGAATAGACTACGACGAAATTAAATAACGTACTGTGACCACATAATTAAATTTGATAATCTTATATTACATTTTAAATGTATGTAAATTAAAATCGCCACATCTATGCTTTGCATTTTAATCTTGCATTTGTTTAATAATTTAAAAGTGTTGTGTTTGTCTATGTGGATTTTTTTTTTTCGTTTTGTAAAATATGCCTATTAAATAAATATTCATATTTTAAACATGAATATGTTATGTTTTTCAAATTTGAAAGGTTTTAGAGATGCCGTGCGCGCACACACTGATGTACACACAAATAAAAATGAACGAAAGTTTTTAACATCACTTAAATTAAGAAAAGATTATAATTTTAGCATCTGCATCTGAAAAATATCAGATTATGTTGTTTTAAAATATTTTGACACCTGTGCCAGGTACTGTTCTAATTTGTTTATTTTTCGTCAGAATGGCCTGTTTAACACAAAAGACTGATTTGTTGATTAAATTTCAGCTGTAAAACAATACATTAACTGCAATTCTTCTCATAAAGTACGCATAACTTTTGTCCTGGTGAGTGTGCTGTGTAATTTTAGTCATTTTAAAACTGGTTACACGACATGAATTATCTCTCATTCGCCATTATTAGTATGTCCAGCCGATTTATTTCAGTACAGTTATTATTTTAACAAAATGCATGTCATTTAAGCTTCATTGTATTTTTTTTTTTATCTGAACATTTACCAATTAGATTTAAAACTCAACATTTGCGATTTAAAAACGAGTTTTATCTTTATAAATATGCCACAGGCATGTTTGAAAGGCGCATTTATTTTTCATTTGATCAGATTGTGTCCATTCGCCCATCAGATGACAGTAGATCGTCTCCATGTGTTTTTCTTATACTTTCCCGCGTGTTGTATTTTATAGAGGCCAACACACACTGAATTGTATGAAGTGCGAGTCTCCTCGTGTACATGAGGCAGTTCAGGACCATGGACAGCGCAGCCCGACCTCTACCGCTTAGCATTCACACTCACTCTGCTTTATATCTACATCTTGACTTTTTATTTAAAAAAAAATACTATAACAACTTTTTTTATAACGTGTAGGCTACCTTTATGATGTATTTACCTCAACGGTGTTTTACAGGCCACACACAATGAGTTTGTACATGTTCATATAGATACGTATATTCTCTTGCGTTTTGTGTACAGGAATACAGGATCCTTTGTTCGGTTGTCCTTCTCCATAACGAAATATTAGAATAATTCTCTAAAACATCATGCATAATAACTGGATGGCCAAAAATGTGACAGTTTAAGAGAAATTGAAGCCCGTGGCTGTGGATTTCCATCGGCCTGTTCGCAGCTTCGAGTATTAGAGTTGAACTTGACTGCTGTATTTCATGTTTAAGCCTCTGGTGTGTGTCAGTTCGTCCTGACCCTGATAACAGCAGAACAGCGCGGCTGTGTATGAGCGAACGACACCAGCCAGTTAAACAAGACCGTCTTTACAAACACATTTCTTTTATTGGCCTAGTATTTTTCGCTATCCTTTAGATTTTTTTTTTTTCTGATTAAAAAAATACACTGTAAAATAAATAAATAAGTAAATGCATTACCGTAAAACAGGCTGTTGTCGGAACTTTATCGTAAAAAAATGCACATAGACATTTTACAGTGCTTAACTACATACAGGTGCGTTTAAAATGCTATAATGTGCTAAACTGTTTAAGTTCAAATTCGTTTGCTACTGTTAATAAAAATAATACAGATGTCCACTTAAGGTCTCATCTGTATAACTTAAGGTCACGTGATAACTTAAAGTTAAATAATTGGTCTCTCCAGCAATTGCGATAACACAACACACACACAAAACCCTTTCAGAGTAACACACATGACCATAAAATAATGCAATGGATATTAACTAAACAACATACAACACTCCAATGTACGTAATTGAAAAAAAATAAGAAACTACGTTTTTAAATAATGACATAGGCCTATAAAGCTGATGTATACTTAAAACTAATTGCTTTAAATATGAAATTAATTGTCTCTGCAAATTATAAGGTAGTTCATACTTTTACTACATTTTTACAGTATTTTACAGTAAAACTACATTTATTGTGTTTTTAAAATATATATTTTCTGGTCAAGTAACTTGCATTAATTAACCTTTTTTAGTGTATGATTTTACATTCTTTTTCCTTTAAAATTACATGCATCTCAATGAAACATTTGAGTTGATTAGCACAGTCTGAAACATTGATCACATTTTTAGCATCCAGCATTGCACCGATTGGGCGGTATACAGTGGGTACGGAAAGTATTCAGACCCCCTTAAATTTTGGACTCAAATGAAGGTGTAGAACCATCTCAAGGATGATCAGAAGAAATGGACAGCACCTGAGTTAAATATATGAGTGTCACAGCAAAGGGTCTGAATACTTAGGACTATGTGATATTTCAGTTTTTCTTTTTTAATAAATCTGCAAAAATGTCAACGATTCTGTGATTTTCTGTCAATATGGGGTGCTGTGTGTACATTAATGAGGAAAAAAAATTAACTTAAATGATTTTAGCAAATGGCTGCAATATAACAAAGAGTGAAAAATTTAAGGGGGTCTGAATACTTTCCGTACCCACTGTATATTTAAAACGCCACATTGCCTAGAAAGAAGTTGCAGCTTGGAAACTACACACATGAATCATCCAGACGTGCTCTTCTAAGTGCACTTTACGTTTCCAGGACAACTGCATATATACATTGTGCTCTGGAACTGTATGGATGTACAGATTCATTATCTTCACAAGCCGCACAGATGCACCTTCTTATTAATACACTTGAGGATGGAACGATCCTCAGTCGGCTCAGCTGTTTTTAACCCCGATGAGTGTGTTGTAGAAGCTGCTCAGCCAGCTACATCCACTCCATTTAAGACTCCAGTGGAAAGCTATGTTCAAGGTCTGAGCTAAACCTCTTGTGTCTAATGATCGGCGGAGAGATGCTGTGAAATAGTTCAAGTAAAAATCCTCAGCCCTTAGTCCATTAAACCTCACCTGCGCTTCAGAAGCCACTAGAACACCTGTTAGTCACCTGACTCGGGTCCCAACGGAGACGTTTTGACACACTGCCTGTCAGTCTCTTTAAACGGGTTAAACAAAAATGGCCTTTAATCACCCTCTTGAGGTCCTTAAATTAATAAGAACTTAAGCGATACAATCAAGATTGTCCTGTTATGATAAAACATTACGTTAGCACTCGACTGAAGTGTGACCTATCTTACGAACGCAGCTTCTCTGTTCTAGTTCGTTGCATTAAAATGCCTTAAAATTGGGTTCTCGGTTGAATCTGAAATAAGGAATGTGTGTGTCTGTTTTGATATATATTTTTGTCAATGTTTCCCCTTCAGGATAGGCTTTGATTTTTGGGTGGTGAGTTAGTGTCAGTGAAGTGTGTTAAGGCTGAGTGATGTTAAGCTCTGAAGTGATGAAGAGGAGCGGTGGGGTCTGTGAGAGGGAGGAGAGAGAGTGAGAGAGCCCAGGGCTGTATAGCTAGTTAGTGTGCAAAGCAATGTAATCTGCCCTCCTCCCATGGCGCACACACTCATATCCGCTGTTTAATAGACGCGTGTTCACATCAGTGCCACAGTCCATTTATCCCAACTCTATGAGTTTCATGAAGTGCCTCCGTATTGCAGTTAAGGATATCTGCATTATGTTAATGCACCTCTGTAGGTAAATGGTACCATCAGCAGTTCTGCACCAGATAATTGGAGAAACAGGATTTTCTGAAGACATTGTGCCATAATCACAGCTGAGATGAGCCGATCGTGCAATGGAATGCAACCAACACTGCATGATTGACCCTTTTGGCAGTCAGAATGTGATTTGGAATGACCTTTGACTCTTGAGGGTGTGTAGTTATGCCCGTGTGTGTGGTGATAGCAGCACGGGGCCGGTGAATGATGAATTGTCTTTGTGGGATTGACGTCTGAAGGTGACCTTAATTCAGCAAGTGGTTTAAACCTGTGCCAAGGGCATTGCTCTTTGCCAACTGCTTTCTAACAACAAGCACCATGACACAAACCACTGCTTATTTACCGTGATGAGCTAGCCATTCGATGGCAATGAATGGAAAAGCTCATCTGTTGATGAGAAAGAATGGCTGAGAATTTGAGAGGCAAGACTGACCATGTTCAAACATGGTTCACATTATCTATCTATATCTATGTGTATATTTTTAATAGATTTTTTTAGACTGATAAATACTGTGTATTGTCATAAAAATTCATTAATAAATAAATTGGATCAGGGAGGAGGAACACTTTATTTCCCAGAATGCATTACCAATTTAAATTCCAGTATAACTTTCTGTGAGGTGTGGCCAATTGAATTCAAACTCCAATTCATGAATTGAAAAGGAACCAATCCTCAAAAAAATATAAAAAATAAAAATCTTAGTAAATATAAAGTAAAATGTATATTTTATATTTTT